GGCCCGGCCCGCCAGGGTGCTTACCCTGGCGAGCCGCGTGCCAAACGTTGCCGACCCCTGCAATAGATAGTGGTCTTTCCTCTGAGCCAGTCTGCTGATAGTGTTAGGGCAGGGGTGGGCAAACTTTTTGGCCCGAGGGCCACATTGGGCTTGCACAACTGTATGGAGGGCTGGGTAGGGAAGGCTCTGCCTCCCCAAACAGCCTGCCCCCCCCATCCGCCCCCTGACTGCCCCCCTCAGAATCCCCAACCCATCCAACCCCCCCTGCTCCTTGTCCCCTGACCACCCTCTCCCGGGACCCCTGCCCCCATCCAACCCCCCTGCTCCCTGTTCCCTGACTGCCCCGAACCCTATCCACAACCCCGCCCCCTGACAGCTCCCCCCAGGACTCCCACCGCCTGTCCAACTGCCCTCTGCTCCTTGTCCGCTGACCACCCCCTCCCGGGACCCCCCACCCCTAACTGCCCCCCGGGATCCCACCCCCTTATCCAACCCCCCCAGCTCCCTGTCCCGTGACTGCCCTCCCAACCCCTATCCACATCCCCGCCCCCTGACAGGCCCCCCGGGACTCCCACTCCCAACCCTCCCTGTTCCCCATCCCCTGACCGCCCCCCCAGAACCTCCGCCCCATCCAACTGCCCCCTCCTCCCTGACTGCCACCCCACCCCCCGCTCCCTTACCCAACCCCCCCACTCCCCGCTCCCTTACCAGCAGCAGGAGCTCGCAGCCGCGACACCCGGCCAGAGCCAGCTGCGCTCCCCACGCTGCCCAGCGGGAGCGGCGGGCCACAGGGCAGCCCACGCAGCGGTGTGGCTGCGGGGGAAGGGGGGACAGTGGGGGAGGGGCCAGGGACTAGGCTCCCCAGCCAGGCGGTTAGGGGCCGGGCAGGACGGTCCCGCAGGCCGGATGTGGCCCGCGGGCCATAGTTTGCTCACGTCTGTGTTAGGGGGACAATCATGCTGTCTTTGAACACCAGACCTGGTGTAAGGAGCTGCCACTCCTATTTGGCCTGTGGGCCAAATTTAGCAGTGACATAAATGGTGGTGTAAATTGGTCAGAAAATGGGTAAAAGTGCAAAGTCGTGTTTGTTGCACCAAGACGGCATTAAATGAGTGTGTAACACAAGTGTAATTTCCACAGCCACCAAGGGGGGGTGTTAGCAGGATGCCTTTGCCTAAAGGCTGTAAGATAAAGCATCCCCTCCCTTTAGTTTATCCTATGCTCTCCTACTAGTTGCTTTTTCTGGTAGCTCCTCCCCTGCAATCCCTGGGCATGGATTCATCAATGCCAGTGAGACGGTTTACCACGTACACCCGGTTTCTGGCCAGCTCACACCTGATGTGTAATTTCCAGCAGTATCAGCACTGGGTTTGGCCCATGGCGAACAGAAATGTCGCTGTGTGTTTTTATTAGTATCGGGGTTATCTGGTGTCCTGCTAATAGGCACCTGCGTCCACCTGAGCACCACAATGAGACAATTCCAGGTATCTGTTCACATGGGGGAAGGGAGAGGCGGAAATTAGAGCAGCCGTCGCAATCAGCAGTAATGTGGAGGGGAGGGGGACTTGTGCTGATTGTTAGGGGGAGGTACTGCATGTTTGCAGGATGAATTGCCTGGGATGTCACTGGAGTGATGGTGGAGAGTCGGATGGCAGGAGAGGATGGGGTAAAGCTGGAGGTTTGCATAGTGAGGAGAGGTGGTTGGATGATGACAGAGAGGATGAGGGATGAGCAGGGAGGGTCAGGTAGCGGGTGGGTGTCAGACAGTGAAGAAGGAGGTGTGGGCTGAGTAAGAGGGCAACAGCCCCGGGAAGGAGACGTTAGTGGGTTGGGGAGAAGTTGCTTTGTGTTTGTTTTGTAACAAGACATGTAACTGCATGACCTTATTTTGATAACCTTTGTCCACTCATCTTCCTATCTTCTCCCACCTATGGCAGTAGCTCTCCTTTTGCGTCATGTCTACAAATAGTATTTCAGTTTGTTGGGGCAGGGACCGTGTCTGGGAAGCATTTTGCACTTCAGGTTCACGGCAATGAATTATCAGCATAACTCCCCACTGAAGCCAGTGGAGAGTTCTGCTTAAAAACAAGCAACATGGTATGGCCCATCGGTCTTTTTAGGCCAAGTCTCTATTATTATATTATCTCTTACTGATAGGCAGGTCTGCATTCTCCATCTCAAACACAGATGGCGCTGTACGTTTTACAAAGGCTTGTTATTTTATTTTTTCTATATATATTTAATTAATAAAACAAAAAGTGTAAATTCAGTTACCAAACTTTGGTCCTGATCCTGTTTCTGTTAAAGCCAATGGGAGATTGGTCCTTGGTTTTATAACAGAGCTTGCTCTCAGAGTACAGCATACAGACCGATTTTAATCAGCGAGGTTAAATGTATGTGGCCTGCTCAATGAAATCCACCTTGGACACGTGAAACCAAGGGCAGAATTTGGCCTTGGTCTACAAGCAGCTACACTGAATGTACAACCTTCTAATCATTGACTTGGTGTTTGTAGTTGCCCTGTATGCAGGTTTAAAGGTGATGGTCAGTGTGTTATTTGAGGAGGATACAACAAAGTATATAAAGAGGCCTGATTCCACTTCAAACGTTTATTCTTGCATGCTGGCCCTGGCCTCTGTCTTGTGGCTTCCTAGAGGTTATAGCATTTCTGATCTGCCTCTCTGGTTTTCTTAGCAGAATGGCCCTGCTTGTTTTGCTTCTCTTTGGCATTCAGTTGCTAGGCTCCTGGGCTGTCTCTCCTCCATTCGTGGAACCGCCACCTCTGTTACTTTCCCCTGCGTGTAATGACTCTGCGGTAGAGGCAGCTGCGGATCTGGCTCTGCGCCAGATCAATGCCAACCAAAGAGAAGGCTACGTGCTTGGTCTCTATCGAATTTTCAGCGTCCAAGAACAGCCCCAGGTAAGGAGCCCTCTCATTCTAGGGTAGTGTTTGTCCTGGGGAGGGGGGTATACTTTCTGCATACTGTCCAGTTGCCGTAGCAATGGGGGTTTGAACCAGGGAATGCTCAGAAAGACATTTCACAAAGGCTGGGAATTAATTCTGCTGTGTAGAAAATGTGAAGAGCTAAATTTTCCTACGACTCTCAGAGCAGTGGCAACTTGACCCACAAATGAATGGAAATAATTTCACAAGAGCAATTTAAAGCAAGTAGGACTATTGGAAGCAGGAGGATCTGATTCTCTCTGGCCACGCACCTACCGGTAGTACTGTCATTGGCATCTGTCCAGTGGGAGTGAAACACCACCATTGTCATTTAATAACATTGTACACCCACTTGGCTCAGATGTACTTGCTTATACAAGGTGCAAAGCAATAGTGTATTGGGCCCAGGGAATTTTTTCACATACAATTGGGCACCTCATTGAAGACTGACTTGCCAAGAGAGCTTTGAAACCAGGTCACAGGTAAAAATCAGACTGGATTTAAAAATAAATGTAGATCTAAGGGGAAAGTATATCTCTGTGTGACTATTTTATTTATTATTGTTTGTATTGCAATAACATGTAGGAGGCCCAGCCAGGATCAATGTGCCAGGCCCCGATAAGTAAGGCACTGTATAACCATGGTAGTAACACCCCCTTCCTCTACGGCACACTGATATAATATCTGTGCACTTGCTTGCATTGTTTAATGGCTAGAGCGCTGTAACTGAATAGAAATTCCATTGCCACATATTTAAAGATCTCCCACATCTACTAGGACTTGTCACTATTTCCTGCCCACCAAGACACAGCTTCTCCAGCAACCCGCCCAGGAAAATGCCATGGTTAAATTTATCCGCCAGTGATCAGGAACTGGGTCAATAAAGTTGCACACATATTCCAGTGCTCTTTGAGCCAGATTCTCTACCCTTTGCACTGCTCAGGTGGCTCAAAGTGACCAGAAAGCAACCAGATTAGGTCAGCCGAGAGTTTCCCACATGGAATCACTCTCAGCTGGCATAGAACCAGCACAGATATTACCAATGCTACTCCCTGAACTGACTCCGTCACAATGGGCATATCAGAGGTATGTTGTGGGTATGGCTAGAGCACAGTGCGCTCTGGCAATCCCCAGCTAAAGAATGGTCCACTGGGGCCTACTGCCAGATGACATAAATTACAGCAGCCCCCAGGCTACTCTAATTTATGACAGGGCTGATGCAGATGTGCCATCAGGCACTTGCTCCCTGATGGGTCCATCCCCCTCCTCCTGTGCCAGGCATGTCTCAGCACAGGGGAGAATCTGGGCCTCTTTTTCAATATTGTCTCTCACTCACTTCCATTGCCTCTTCACTCTTTACCTTTAAGGCGTAGCTTGTGTCCTGGTTTGTTTGGGTTTTTTTTACTGATTATTACTCTTTTATTTCTAAAAAATGTACAAAACCACAGTATATAACAGCAAAATAGATCAACTAAACCCAGCATCTGAGCCAAAAGCACAAACAGCACTACTGAGACTGTACCACATTTGTGTCGCTGTGAAAATGGAACATACAGTGTGCATTCAAATAAGCCATGTTATTCAAAAATGTTAATAGATCCCATTGACACCTTTGTTCCTCAGAAAGGGTTGAGAAACTTTTTCTTTGCCTGTGTTTTAAATCAGTGGAAAAGCCACACTCTCTCTTTCCCCCTCATTTTTGTGATCACTACCTATGATGAAAACATTTTCAGTATGCCTTCAGATTCAAATCTGCCCCTAACTGATTTGTGGCTTGATCCTACTCTAAGACTTTTGCCATTGACTCAAACGGGAGTAGGACAGAGCCCTTCATTCACAGGAAATGACGATCAATGTACTTCAGTGACAGGTTTTTAACTAGATCTTAAGTCATCATTAGATATTGGAACTTTCTTCTTTTACTGTTTTTAACAGGTCCCCTGTCCCCCGCAAGAGTTGCTGACCTGTGATTGCCAATTCCCTTCTGGCTCCAAGACTGGTGGTGTCAGAGGTGAAAGTAAGCCAGTACGGTCCGGTATGGCGTACCGGCAAGAGCCAGTACACAGCCGACCGTACCGCCAGGGGGCAGCTTCCCCAGGCTGGCAATTTAAAAGGGCCCTGGACTCCCGGCAGCAGCCGGAGCCCCTGGCCCTTTAAATCGCTGCCAGAGGCCCGCTGCCGGAGCCCTGGGGTAGCCCCAGGACTCCAGCAGCGATTTAAAGGCCCACGGCTCCTGGCCGCCGCTACCGCAGTCGGAGCCCCAGGCCCTTTAAATCGCTGCCGGAGCCACGGGGTAGCATTGGCGATTTAATGGGTCTGTGGATTTAAAGGCCCCGCCCCTTCCACCTGAGGCCCCGCCCCTTCTGGTTGAGGCCATACAAGTAAGTCCCTTAAGTTATTTTCACCCCTGGGTGGTGTTAGTGTCAGCAGAATCAAAGCAAGGGATATGCCGATGTAGAAAACAGAAATCAGGCGTTATCCAATACTGAACAGATCTCAAACAGTTCCTTCTTAATAATCTTATTTATGAGATAAAAAATAAGAGTAATGAAATGCTCTGTGATCTGCTCACCACTGAATAAATTCTGAACTAGCCTTTCCCCACTGGAGGCTGATGCATCTGAAAGTCAGTACATAAAACTGACATGGACTGTATAGTATACTCATAGTCCTTCTGTCTGTTAGAACTGGTCCAGTACTGGAGCTTGGGCAGGGTAAGAGAAGGATTTTGGTTCAGTTTGATTGTATTTAAGCACTTAAATATTCCAGAATTCACCAAGCTTCAAAACCAGTCTGTGTGATTCAGCGGAATAGACATATCTGACATTGAACATGTGTTTGAGCGCAAATACACCTGTTTGATGCAGAATGTGTGTGCTCCAAAATACTTGGGTGACTAATTTGGAAGCTCAAATACCAACTTCAGATTCTTTATACATCCCTCCATTCCTATCTGCTCACCTGTGATATTCAGAAGAATGTTTTTCTAAGACAAGATATATTCAAAAATAATGAATCTGGCTCCCAAATGCTGCACACAGAGACAAAAAACACTGAAATGTGCAGAACTTTGACTGATTTTACTGTCTGTCTAATCCAGTGGTTCTCCATCCGCGGCCCAAACAGCACACAGCTGCGGCCCATGTGACATCCTCAGGGCCATACAGGTAATATATATATTGAGTGGATCCGGCCCACATAACACATAGAGAGCTGCATATGCGGCCCACAAAGGTAAATCGGTTGAGAACCACTGGTCTAATCTGTAATCTAAATTAGCCACTAGCCATTACATTTTAAAGCCGTGTGTCACTGCAGTGCCTAGGTGCCATGCACAAAGTAAAAGTCACATCTGATGTCATCCACAGAAGGACCAGCATTCTCTAACCCACGTGCACTATATCCATTGTCCTGAGGCGAACCATTGAGATGGTTTTTCTTCCAGTGGAACATTTATAGCAGCAAATAAACATGATAGTGTATCTGTACAGTGATGGCAATGCACAGGAGATGCCTGCAGTGCCTCTTTCCATAATAATACCTAGATCTCATACAGCATTTTCCTTCAATAGATCTCAAAAGCACTTTACCAGGGAGATCAGTATCAACATCACATTTTACAGATGGGAAACTTGGGCACAGAGGAGGGAAATGACTTGTCCAACGTCACCCAGCAGGCCAGGGGCCAAGCAAGGAATAGAACCTAGGTTTCCTGAGTCCGAGTCCAGTGTTCTAGCCTGCAGCATGCTTCTGATCTAGATTATGGTCTAGACAGTATTTTGGTCCTGCCATGCGGGCAGGGGACTGGACTCGATGACCTCTCAAGGTCCCTTCCAGTCCTAGTGTCATAACTATAAAGGGAAGGGAAACAGCTCTCCTGTGTACAGAGACTCCAAATCCTTTTACCTGTAAAGGGTTAAGAAGCTCGGGTAACCTGACTGACACCTGACCCGAAGGACCAATAAGGGGGCAAGATACTTTCAAATCTTGGGGGGGGGGGAAAGGCTTTTGTGTGTGTGTGCTCTTTGTTTTAAGGGGTGGTTCGCTCTTGGGACTGAGAGGGACCAGACATCAATCCAGGTTCTCCCCATCTTTCTAAACAAGTCTCTCCTATTTCAAACTTGTAAGTAAAAAGACAGGCAAGGCGTCTTAGATTTACTTTGTTTTCTCAACTTGTAAATGTACCTTTTTACCAGAGTGTGTATCTTTGTTTGCTGTACTTTGAACCTAAGACAGAGGGGGGTGCTCTGAGCTCTTTAAGTTTGATTACCCTGTAAAGCTATTCTCCATACTGATTTTACAGAGATGATTCTTACCTTTTTCTTTAATTAAAAGCCTTCTTTTTTTAAGAACCAGATTGATTTCTCCTTGTTTTAAGATCCAAGGGGGTTTGGATCTGTATTCACCAGGAGTTGGTGAAAGGAGGGTGGAAGGAAGGAGGGGGGATGGTTAATTTCTCCTTGTTTTAAGATCCAAGGGGGTTTGGATCTGTGTTCACCAGGGAATTGGTGAAAGGTTTCTCAAGGCTTCCCAGGGAGGGAATTCTTGTGATGGTGGCAGCGGACCAAAGCTAAGCTGGTAGATAAGCTTAGAAGTTTTCATGCAGGCCCCTACATTTGTACCCTAAAGTTCAAAGTGGGGATACAGCCTTGACACCTAGAATCTATGAATCTATGATGTCATATGCCCCATGCATGCTAGGAAATGTCAACTTCAACAATATACATTCTTTATTTACTGACACAACATACCTGTAGATAATTCTTTTGTTTTCACTTAAATTAGAACAGACCTAAATTTCAACCAAACCATAAAGTTCTGTTAACTATTTTAAAAACAATTTCCCATTACCGTGGTTCATCCTCATTCTTGGGTTCTGGCTGGCACCAGAACAGGAAGTGTGAAAATAACTCAAAGAAAGGCTGTTCTTGCAATAATTCTGACCTCACTGAGGGCTGGAAGCATTAGAAATATTTCAAGACAGCATGTTCTTACAGGCCAGATCCTCAGCTGGCATATGCTGATTTACACTAGCTGAAGATTTGGCCCACAACATTTCCAGCTTTTTGGGGGGTGCTTGTATGAACTTTTTGACATTTGTCCATCCCTCATTGTTATCCTCTTTTCTTTGTGATGGGTGAAATTGTGACATAACCCCTTTTTTGCTGTGTTTAGAGAATCGCTGGTTCTGTCTTCTATCTCACCTTGGATGTGGTAGAAACTGACTGCCATGTACTCAGCAGAAGGTTGTGGAAGGATTGTAAGAACAGACCTACCCATCAAACTGTAAGGATTTATTTTATTTATTTATTTTTAGATTTACGTGTACATGGGAGCATATGGCTCAGGTATTATTGAAGGAAGCAAAGATCCTTGCACAGATGGTTCTTATAAGCAGTCGGCTGGTTAAAAATTTGAAACTTTTTAATAAAAAATATTTGTAAAACATTTCCATGAAAATATTTCCCTGTTTCCCAACCAGTTTATAAGAGTTCTCAAATTCAAAATTTCAACCATTTTTTTCCAACCAGATCTAATAAGCAGTTACTGGTAAATATGCGTGTTTAGAATCCCTGTAAGGGTTTCTCGGAAAATAGCCTGACAAAGGAGGAATGAAAGAGACTCGCTTTATTCATCTTAATGCTTGTTTTTGTTCTGACAATCTAACTAACTAGAGGCCTGAAAAAGTAAAGAGAAAGAACAAACAACAAGCTAAGCCTCACGGATGCAGCAAGCAGCCTGGGCTCACTGCTAGAGCCAGTCAACACTTTTTTGACAAAATATTTTCATGGGAAAGGAATTCTGCATGAAAGACTGTTTTAGCATCTGATGAAAATATTCAGGTTTTGGTTAAAAACAAACAAACTAAAATGTTTGGTTTTTGTCAAACAGTTTTTATTTTTTTAAAACAAAAACCTGAAATTCAAAAATAAAAATGTCCTGACCATCACAGCAGCTCCTTTGGCGGTTAGAAGGAACTGATGGGCAGTTGGGTTCCGCCTCTTTTATACCTCTGGAGCCCTCCACAAAGGGAGAGACAGTGAAGGGTGAGTGGCCCCAATGGACACTGTTCATCAGAAGATTTCTGAAGCTCCCAGCTCATGTGCCTTGATCCCACAAGGGGAAATACTGAATTGGCCACCTGAGCATTAACATTTAAAGTCACTGATAGGATGAACAGACTGGGTGAGATTCTTTTAATACACTGGTATAAATTCATGCTAAAGCCAGCATAATCAACCCAGGCTCACTGTAGTATGAGGGTGATCCTCCAGTGCCATAGAGCTGATGTACAGACTTTTATGCCATTCTCCCTCCTTGCTACCAACACAGCATGGAAAAGGGTCAGACTCATGGCTGGAAGATAGCGGGAGTGGGTGGGACATTTCCACTGTGCTGAGCTCCAGCTGTTTTCAGATGGTTGGGCTCTGTGTATACACCCCTCAAGGTCCCCAATGGAGGGGGCAAAGCCAGGAAAAAGGCAATGTGCCAGTGCACCCCCGCAATCCCCAGTTGCCAGAAGAAATGGGGGGAGGCTGGGCAGCTAACTGGCAGTGCGCAGATGTAGCACCAGCCCGATGATCAGGGAGCCAAAACCAGCTCCTTTGTACTCCCTCTTCTCAGCTGTACTTAGTGGCCAACTGAGAATCTGAACCTACTGGTCAGATTCTAAACGGGTGTAAACGGGCATAGCTCCCCTGACGTCCATAGAATTACGTTGATTTATAGCAGCTGAGGATCTGGCTTTTTAATTCTCAAAGGTCTTTTCAGGTGATAAACGTGTTAAATCTCAGCTGAACACTAATGCAAAATCGGTCTTTGGAAAGCATTATATAACTGTATGGAGAAGAATGCACTGTTTAGAGGCTCTATGGCTACTGACAGGTTGCAAAGCTAAATTCCACCTACAGTCATAGCACATATTTATATTTCTTTAGGTTTTTGGGCAGTGTAAAGCAACCCTCTACATTAACAAGCCAAGGAGAATTGTTCACCTGCAAAGCTATGAGTGCACCTTACAGCCAGGTATGTTATTCTTAATATGTTTCTTATCAGAAAAGATGGGGGGAGCATGGAAGGATTGCATGGAAACTTTTTAAAGACACCATAATAGAGGTTCAACTTAAATGTATCCCCCAAATTAAAACACCTAGTAAGAGAACCAGAAAAGAGCCACTGTGGCTAAACAACAAAGTAAGAGAAGCAGTGAGAGGCAAAAAGGCATCCTTTAAAAAGGGGAAGTTAAATCCTAGTGAGGAAAATACAAAGGAGCATAAACTCTGGCAAATGAAGTGTAAAAATATAATTAGGAAGGCCAAAAAAGAATTTGAAGAACAACTAGCCAAAGACTCAGAAAGTAACAGCAAACAATTTTTTAAGTACATCAGAAGCAGGAAGCCAGCTAAACAACCAGTGGGGCCCCAGGACGATGGAGGTGCTAAAGGAGCACTCAAGGATGATAAGGCCGTTGCGGAGAAACTAAATGAATTCTTTGCATTGGTCTTCACGGTAGAGGATGTGAGGGAGATTCCCAAACCTGAGACATTTTTTTAAGTGACAAATCTGAAGAACTGTCCCAGACTGAGATGTCATTAGAGGAGGTTTTGGAACAAATTGATAAACTAAACAGTAATAAGTCACCAGGACCAAATGGTATTCACCCAAGAATTCTGAAGGAACCCAAATGTGAAATTGCAGGACTACTAACTGTAGTCTGTAACCTATCATTTAAATCAGCTTCTGTACCAAATGACTGGAGGATAGCTAATGCAATGCCAATTTTAGAAAGGGTTCCAGAGGTGACCTTGACAATTACAGGCCAGTAAGCCTGACTTCAGTATCGGGCAAACTGGTTGAAACAATAGTAAAGAACAAAATTGTCAGACACATAGATGAACATAATTTGTTGGGGAAGAGTCAACATGGTTTTTGTAAAGGCAAATCATGCCTCACCAATCTACTAGAATTATTTGAGGGGGTCAACAAGCAACTGGACAAGGGGGATCCAGTGGATATAGTGTATTTAGATTTTCAGAAAGCCTTTGACAAGGTCCCTCACCAAAGGCTCTTAAGCAAAGTAAGTAGTCATGGGATAAGAAGGAAGGTTCTCTCATGGATTGTTAACTGGTTAAAAGATAGGAAACAAAGGGTAGGAATAAATGGTCAGTTTTCAGAATGGAGAGAGGTAAATAGTGGTGTCCCCCAGGGGTCTGTGCTGGGACCAGTCCTATTTAACATATTCATAAATAATCTGGAAAAAGGAGTAAACAGTGAGGTGTCAAAATTCACGGATGATACAAAACTACTCAAGATAGTTAGGTCCCAGGCAGACTGCGAAGAGCTACAAAAGGATCTCTCAAAACTGGGTGACTGGGCAACAAAATGGCAGATGAAATTCAGTGTTGATAAATGCAAAGTAATGCACATTGGAAAACATAATCCCAACTATATATATAAAATGATGGGGTCTAAATTAGCTGTTACTACTCAAGAAAGAGATCTTGGAGTCATGGATAGTTCTCTGAAAACATCCAATGTGCAGCGGCAGTCAAAAAAGCAAACAGAACGTTGGGAATCATCAAGAAAGGGATAGATAATAAGACAGAAAATATCATATTGCCTCTATATAAATCCATGGTACGCCCACATCTTGAATACTGCATGCAGATGTGGTCACCCTATCTCAAAAAAGATATATTGGAATTGGAAAAGGTTCAGAAAAGGGCAACAAAAATGATTAGGGGTATGGAACAGCTGCCGTATGAGGAGAGATTAATAAGACTGGGATTTTTCAGCTTGGAAAAGAGACGACTAAGGGGGGATATGATAGAGGTCTATAAAATGACTGGTGTGGAGAAAGAAAACAAGGAAGTGTTATTTACTCCTCATAACACAAGAACGAGGGGCCACCAAATGAAATTAATAAGCAGTTCTTATGTTCTTAATGCTTAAAGATAGAGCCCAGCAAATCCACGGATATCCAGGGACCATTTTTGTGGATCATGGATCAGATGCAGATACAAATTTTGTATCCGTGCAGGGCTCTACTTAAAATGTGGCTCTACTCTGAGAAGTGACTAAAAACGGCATCATGGTGTTTCATGGTAATTTCCTCTCAATGGCATCTGCCCTACCTCACTTTCTCAGGGCAGAAGGATACAAGCTGTTGATCTTGAGGACTTTTAGGACCAACATGGGTACACATAACTAGACAGGTTCTGACTTTCAACTGAAAAGAGGATGAAAGACTTTTTACATGTGCATTTGGCATGGCACTTTGAATATGATGCAATTCCTTTGCATCTACACAGTTCGTTTCATCCAAGGACCTCCAAATGCTTTACAAAAGCAGCTAAATATCATAAACCCAATTTTACCATTAGGGAAAAAGACTAAGCAGAGAGACAAAGCAATTTATCTAAGATCCTATAACTACTTAGTGACAGAGTTGGGAGTAGAACCCTTTTCTCCTCACTCTCAGTTTCCTGCTTTAACCACTAGACACATTGCTTCTCATATTTCAATTGAGATTATTGAATATTTCTGCAAAGCACCTAGCATGCTGCAGAAAAATGAAATGTATTATTATTTCCAGCATGTATCCTCTGGTAATCAATATGGCATGGGACAGCAATGGACATGGGATAGCAAACTCCCCCCAAATTATTAGTGTTATTTCATGATGCTTCTGCTAAACAAAAGTAGGTGGGATCCTTCACCCATATTCAGGCAAAACTCCCATTTATGTCACTCTCTTCAGGGGTGTTTTTCACATTTTCATTTTTCTGCGGGAAATCCACCAGGATAATGCCACAAGAGCCTTTGGAGAGACCCACTTCCCAGTCTCTTGGTTCCCTTTGGAGCATCTGCCCTGATAGACTTTTCACACTAGAGATGAGTCCAAGCCAAAACCACAGATATAAACACTCCTGATCTTTGCCAGTGTCTGTATCTAGATCTCACAACTGACTCCTAGGTCTATAAGGGGCTGAACATTATGGTTTGGGCTCATCTATTGACACTTCTCAATAAGTTACAAACTCTGGGTTTGATTTGCCCCCATTGATGCAGGGGGTGCAAATTGCCAGCAGGGACCACAGCCCTCTGTGAGGGGGGATGGTGTGTATGTGCAGCGTGCATGGGAGGCATCCCCAAGGGAAATGCAAGGGGTGTTGCACCACTATCTTCTCTGCGGTTTCCAGGAGGAGAAATAAACTTTAAAGTGCATCTGGTGCTCTAAGGGAGCCTTGGTGATGGAGACTGCCAATTAGATCCTCTGGGTGCTCTGGCTATATGCCCCTTCCTGGCCAGAGCTGCACACTTTAAGGGCTTTCTTTGGCTGGCTGCCAAGCAGAGCAGGGATTCTGAGCCCTTTGTGCCATTGCGACCTCTCTCTAAGCAGTGGGGTGGGGAACTCTGAGGCAAAAGCCATCAGAGTCTCCAGAGTAGTGGTTCTCAACCCAGGGGCTGCTTGCAGCCCAATCAGCACATAGCTGCAGCCCATGTGACATTCTCAGGACCATACTGGTAGTAAATATATTGTGTAGATGCAGTCCACATAACACATAGAGAGCTGCATATGTGGGCCACAATGGTAAATAGGTTGAGAACCACTGCCCAGAGTGACAGTGTTTGGCGAGGGGGCAAGCTGATGAGGTGGATTTGTGGGGGTTGATTAGTGGGGGGGGGTCACATGACAGTTCAATTACTAGGTCAATGGCTATAACCTTGTATCAAATATTGTTGTTTGAAATTGTGTGAAATGCCAAGGGCATGTGTGGGGCTGGGGCTTGAAACCCTAAAGAAATAAATAAGCACGAAATAGGCACATCAACCTGCCTACCTACCTATATCTGTCAATGGGACTGTAGTGTTTTGAAACCTACCTTATCAACGTGTATTTGTTATTTTCGACAAAGTTCCATCAAGCTCATTTTTAAGGATTTGCCCTGACTGTCCAGTCCCTGGCTGTCCAACGGAGCCCAAGTATCTGGAAACTGCTGTTGTGAGCCTGGCCAAATTCAACAAGGAAAGTGAGCAAGCTCATTCTTTCTCTGTCCTCAACGTTACCAAAGCTTCAATGCAGGTAAGGCTGAAATTCATACAGCCCACTTTAGGCCCTGGAAAGCATTGATACAACTGCTGCGCTATCAGGTGCAAAGATGGGCTTGAGCGCCAACAGTTGGTTCAGGATAGGATTCTGAACCCTTCAAAGTTTGAGGCTGTGTAGATCTGTGGCTTTGATTCATCTTATTCTAGAGAGACGAGCCAGTTACAAAATTCAGATCTAGATTTGAACTCCATAGTTCATTGTCCCTGCTGGCAATTTGCCCCTGGGCTTTGGATTCAGGCCTACCTCTAACAAAAGGCCCAGCTGATAAAGTATTTAGTGTAGCATAGAGGTTGCACACCTGCAACTCACCAAATTAGCTTAAACATAATTAAAAATATCATTGCACAGTGAGGAGGTGCTAATTATCAGTGTCCTGGCTAAATTCCATGTGTTCCTCACAATTAGGGTTACCATATCTCATAAATAAAAAAAGAGGACCCTCCACGGGCCCTGGCCCCGCCCATTTCCCCACCCCAGCCCCGCCCCTTCTCCACCCTAACTCCGCCCCCTCCTCCCTTCCACTCCCAGCCA